GGGGGGGAGGGGTGGTGTTCAATATTACATATGGAACTTGTGACGTTTCATTTTGAAAACATCAAAACAAACAAAAGGCATTTTTTTGGTTGAAAACTTTTGACAAGATAAAGACTATTGGCTAAATTACTCTTTTGGTCCCTCATTTTAGTTAATTTATTCAATTTGGTCCCTTAATTTTCTGAAACGATGCAATGTGGTCCTTTCTACCCATGACGTCAATTTCTTGTACATGTGGCACAATAAGAAAATGACATGTATTGCTATACGTACAAAAATTTAACATCGATAGTCTAAATTGAACGGAAAGACACATTGCATCGTTTTAGAAAATTAAGTGACCAAATTAGAGCTTTTTAATAATAAAGGGACCAAATGAAACAAATTAAAAAAGTTGAGGGACCAAAACAGTAATTTAACCAAGACTATTTTATGTCCAAATCTCTCTATCTTCTATAACTCTTACTAAACACGCACATGCATTATTTATGTGTTCCACATATAATATGTTTGGTAAATTATGATTGTTTTTGAGAGAATAATTCATCCTTTTATATATATATATATATATATTTTTCCTGAAAAACTATCTTAACCTTTTAGTTATACCTTTTGTTTTGGCCACAAAAGATTTTATCTGAACATGCATAGCTCCAAGAATAAGTCATGTCTTATTTACACTGTTTAATAGCTCTATGTACATTGAATTTCATCAATGTAAATGTGAGATTGATAGTTTTCTTCAAATAAATTTAGTTTACAAAATTTCATACAATTTAAAAATTAGTTGAGATTTCATTACACAAAGTCATTTTTAACAAATAATATATTTGAAAATATAAGTGAATCTTTAGTCTACTATAACAATGCATGCTTATGAATGTCCAATTTATCTAATATTTGGGTATGCATGATCATAGAGTTAACATCACATGATTTATCAGTTAGATTTTTTAAATTAGTGTTATACCAAAAAGTATTAAATGATATATATATATATATATATATATATATAGAGAGAGAGAGAGAGAGAGAGAGAGAGAGAGGAGGGATCCATTTACTCCAGGAGTAAGTCTATCTAGACTATATTTTATATCAAATTTCAAAGATCTAATTGTTGATTTTAAAGTTCTTAATGCATAGATCAAACTTGCATATTTTAAAAAAATTTGAAAATCATTTAATATTTCATTTCATGAATTCAAATCAATGTATAAAGTAATTTTATAATTATCTGTCAATTTGAATTAATAAAATGAAGTATCACATGATTTTCAAATTTTTTAAAAATTTGCAGACTTGATCTATGCATTAAGAACTTTAATTTCAACAGTTGGATCGTTGAAATTTGATATAGAACATGAGTTATTGAACGAAGTAAGTCTAGGTAGACTTACTCCTAGACTAAACGGATTCCTCCTTATATATATATATGTATATATTTATGTGTGTGCGTGTTGTCTTAGACCTGCTTCACATATGCGCATGTGTGTGTGTTTGGTTGGATTAGTGCTTGCTTTATTTGTATGATTACATTTCAACACATAAATATCTTTTTTGACCTCTTTAACCCCTTTTTCAGTATACAGATGAAGAGGTTGAACGATGTTTTGAAGAATTTTATGAGGATGTTCACACAGAGTTCCTGAAGTTTGGGGAAATTGTGAACTTCAAGGTTCTTTTTACTATCTATCATCTGTGTGTGTGCGCAAGTTTTACTTGAAAAATTTTGGAAATATATTTTTCAATTAATTTTGGTATTCTTTTGGGTTGTGTGAAATATCACAAATGGTTATCAATGATGGTTTATATCTAGCTATGTAGATAGGGCAAACTAAATCAGATGGAAAACTTACTCAACCATTTTCTTTATATATTTGTCATGTCTTGTCATTGCCTCACCCTATATACATATCAAACATTTGGAAAAAGAATTCTGGGATTATTGAAAAGATAGTTGTCAATAGGTCACGGTTTTTAGTAGTGGGTGGCTGGTGAAATTTCAGCAATTTGCAGGTGGTGCAAGTACAACTGTAACTGGGTGCAACTACCCTAATTTAGCTCTGTAAGTGTCATGCAGGGCTTTGTAGGGGGTGATTTTTTGGTTGCTCTTTCATTGAATCAGAGGCTTCAAATGAAGCCCTAATTTTCACTCACTTGAGCACATTTGCTCTCACAAACATCCATCATCTCTAGCAACAGTTTGACAATTTTCAGCCATCCCTGACCTCTAGCATTGTGGCCCTGTTCTGTACTTCTGTTCTGTATTTTCCAGTCATTCCTGTTCCCACTCTCTAACTGTCCTCTTTTCTCGTTCCTTTCATTTTGTTCTCTGCTCTCTGCCATTATTTATTATTATTATTATTATTACTACTACTATCATTATTAATAGCCTTTAATTTTGAATTATTTTTGTATATTTGAGCATATATATATATTTGTATAGTTTATGAATATAAATTATTTAGCTTGTAACTAATAGTTTACCGTTGAGGCCATCCTGCTTACCACCATCCTGTTATAATAGCAATTTCAGGGTCAGCCACTATATCTGGAATTGATAATTGTGATTTAAAAGTAAGCCAAAAAAGGATATGGCCTTTTCCTTTTCTGTGAAGCAATAGAACAATATTTTGAAAACTAAAATGGCAGAACATGTGAAAACATTATGAAGATCTCGAGTCTATTTATAAAATTTCTTGCATCTCAGCCTCAGGGTACTAATCCTATTATCAAAATCATCCCTGTCAGGTGTGTAAAAATGGTTCATTTCACTTGCGAGGAAATGTCTATGTACAGTATAAATTGTTGGATTCTGCTTTGCTTGCATATAACTCGGTGAACGGTCGCTACTTTGCTGGGAAACAGGTATTGCATTTGTATGTCTTGTTTGTGCTAGATGATTACCTGGATATTGCAAGTATAATTGTATGGATTTCAAGAAAGCTCCAACTGTGATAATAATTCATGTGCCTTGGGATGTTTACTTGGGACTTCATAGGTACTGTGTTCAGTAAACTGTCCCTTTTTTTTTTTTTTTTTTTTAAATTTTTATGTCCTGTAACTATTGTTATATTGGAGGAAAGCCTGAAAATTAAAGGTGGAACATATTTAGGTTAGGAGGCAGAGAAAATTCAGCTCTGTACTGTAAGCTTAAGTTCAGATTTATATGTTTGGTGCAAAACTGGTTAATGCTGGAGCATAATTCGGTTTGAAGGAGGCAGATAAAGTTCATCTCTGTACTGAAAGCTTATGTCAGATTTAAAGTTCAGAGGGAGTTTCTCCAAAGGATGCTTGTTTTGGTTGATGGATGAAAGATATAGGATTTTACTATCAAGTTCAGAAGTCTTGAATTGCTCGACATTGTTCATATGTTTATCGTATTTGGCTATGATTTATTGCAGGTAAGTTGTCAATTTGTTAACTTGACGAGATGGAAGGTTGCCATATGTGGCGAGTATATGAAATCAGGTTTCAAGGTATATAGTTATATTGATGAGCACTATATTTTATTTTTTCTTTTGGATACAATCATGTGCTGCTGGCTGCTGGGTTTCATTTTTGCAAATCATATAAACTTTTGGTTGGTTTCAACTGAAGCTTTTCACTTTGAAAAAGATGTTGGAAAATGTTTTGAATTGATGAATCGTGCTCATGGCGTTTCTTTCTTTTGCATCTATCTTAACAGACTTGTTCTCACGGAACAGCATGCAATTTTATCCACTGTTTTCGCAATCCTGGTGGAGACTATGAATGGGCTGATTCTGACAAACCTCCCCCAAAGTATTGGGTAAAAAAGATGGTCGCTTTATTTGGTTATTCTGTTGATTATGAGACTTCAGGGGAGCGAGGAAATTTGAGTTTGCCAAAGAATATATCAAAAACAGATTCTGACAGGTGTGCTTTCACTTTATTGTTCCGCATTACATGACATGCGATTGATTAAATTGGTTATTGGACAAATTGTAACCTATGTAGATGATTGATTGTAAATTAAGCAAATTTGTTGTAAATTTTAGCATGATGGAGGATAGGGCTGAGTGCTTATGATAGGTGTTGTAAAGGTTTTCAGGCTTGAGAGCAGACAGGATGCAACTTTTATTTAATATTGTACTTATAGATCATCCAAAAGATTAATGGTGTGTTTGGATGAGGAATTTTACAAATTCAAGAAATTTAAAAATCTTGGTACATCCACTTTCTTAATACATCCAATGTAACATTCTCATATTAATATTGTACCTTGTAAGCCGGTTTTGTAAAGATGAGTTAGACATTCACTTTCTTAATACATCCAATGTAACATTCTCATCTTTACTACATTGAGTTTATTTTCTTTTTTAGAATTTTGGCTTAGGGTTTAATTTCTTAATCTACAATTAAGGTGTCTGTGAAGAGGCTGCAACTAAGGTGGGCTACATGTAAACTGCAATTAAGGCAAATTTCCACCACTTTTGTTGGCTTTTATGGATTAGCATTCAGTTCCATCGTCTTCCATCATGAATCCTATGGTTACCGTTTTGCATCATTTATTTCTCCATCGTCTTGTATGATTGACCTTAAATACTTGAAGTGTGCGACTTGAGGAGGAACTATCTAAACTTCCTATCAAATACAAATGATGAGAAGAAAATATAACTTGGAATATTTTTCTTCAGATGGATTATGGAAGTTTGAATTGTTCAATGTCTTGATTTATTGTATCGTATTTTATTTAATTATTCTTTTATTTCTGGATATTTTTGCATGTGAATTTATACTTGTTCTTATAGTATCATAATCTTTTACAGGTACCACCACTCTAGAAGGTCGAGATCTAGGGAGATGGATCAGTTAAATTGTGGTCATTCTAGTAGAAGAAAACAGGATGAAAGAAAGCCAAGAACTCCTGATAAGGAACGAAATGCCAACTTCAAAAACAAGCATAAAAGGAAATCCAGAAGCAGAACTCCCGATGCTGATCCTGACAAGGAATTGTTAGAAAAAGAGGAAAATAAGGAAAGGCACCGCAAACACACCTGGAATAGTTCATTTAACAGGAACAGGGGTAACAATAAAAGCCGTGAAGAGGATTCTGATGTGGATTGGGATACTGGGGACAATGGAAAACAGCATCGCAGAGAAGGAAGAAACTCAAGAAAGTGGAACAGAGATATTAGAGTCTGGATTTCTGAGGCTGAAGAAGATAGGAATAGTGATAGAGATGATAAAATGCGCCATATTAGCAAAAGTAAAAGATCAAGACATCGGAGTGGCGATGCTTCTGAATCTAACAAAGATTTGCTTGGTAGAGGAGAGATGGAAACACACCATGATTACTCTAGGAAGAGCTCGAAGCACATAAGATCTGGTCTTCAGGACGACTATATATACTATGAGAATGAAAATGACAAAGATGATGGAGGAAGGCCTCCGAGGGAGAGTTACAAACGAGAACATCGTCACAACAAGAAGAGATCCGAACATTAGGAGAATTTGATCCTTCAGCCGTAGAGTGGATCTGGTTAGAACAAGAGGCATAATAGAAACAAGCAAGTGATAATCAGTTTAACTCACTAAAGATACTAGATCCCATCATATTTTGCAGGTTGGTTGTGTGACCTTATCGATAAATAAATAGATCGAGTGAATAATATTTTATATCAATTTTAATTATAAAATTTTAAACTTATTATTAAATTATTTGCTTAATGTAGATCGTTAGGTTTTGTTAAATTTTGATATTTTTATCCCGTCCCTAGTAAGGGGATGGTTTATGTTTCTTTTTCTTTGCTTGCTTTGCTTTTCTTTCCCTCTTGTAGCCAATTTTGTTGTTGATATTTTTATTCTATTCAATTTCGTTCTTCCTTATTTATCCTGAATTAAACTAGGGGGGTTAATAGCAAAAATTACTAAGTATTTTTTTTTTCTTTTGCACTTTATTTTCTTGTGACCGACTTTAATGTGATGCACCATAATATCCATGGTGCAAAACCTTCCATTGGTAAATAAGATGGGATCCTATTTTATGTTGATATTTAAGTGAGGGTTCGAATTGACTGATATTGAAGATGAATGGAGTTGTGATTAGGGAAGAAATGCCACTTGATTCAAGTGTTAACTGATTTTTGGCGAAATGCATTGAGGTACAGCAGTTGATTAGACATTCAAACATAAAGCACTATTTGGGTGTGGGCTGCGAGAGCGATACTAATTAAGACAAATTTTAAATACTAGATATTACCTCAAATAGAACATCATGCTTCATATAAATTCATTTTCAAAATTTTTCAAAAAATATTTCAGGACGATACTCAACGCGAGAAATACACAAAGGGAAGCAGAAACTTGAGTGATACATTTGATTCTTGAATGATAGTTTTAAGAAAGCCTAGCGAGATTTTCTTTTGAATGATGGTTTTAACAAGTCCATCGAGATTTTCTCAAAATAAAAAGCCTGTCAAAATAAACTATAACCAGACTGGTTTACTGAATTAAACAAACAAACATTAAAAAGATTCATCCAACAAGAAGCGAAAAATCCATGTTAACAGAGGATAGGAACTGGTGGATGACATAATGTAATGCAGCTATTAGAGAATGTATAGGAGACAGAGGAGCATGCATGAATTGTGAAGTTGAATCAAATCAAACCACTTGTCGAGTGTGAAAACATGGAAATAAGCAGCGAAACAAATAAGAACCAAAGCTAAAAACACATCCAAATTGACCAGTTGATCTTTCTCTCGTGATTGTGGGGACTGGAATGCCATAAACAGGTTCCGAAAGTGATAGATACGATGAGTTTGGGGTGTGGCTGGTGTCTACAGCAATCTCTTGTGGCAAGAAAGTTCCATAGTTGCTGTATTCAACTTGAAGCCATGAAGGTGAAGAAGGTAAGGGTGGAGCTGAAGGGTGGGTCTGGGAGGAACAAGAGCAGCAATAGTGAGGAGTATACTCATTAGTCTTCTTCCTTTTCTTTTTGGACCACAACTTGAGTTTCTTCACAGCTTTTATTATGTTTTTCATGAAGCTTCAAATGCTCTCGCTTAAGCTGTCGCTGCATTTGCCTATATATCTTTGAAAACCGTTTACGGGAGCGCCTTTCTTTGTTTTTCAAATATTTGACCGTTGCCTATTCACTACTATTCTATATACTAGTTTACGTTATATGGATATTTCCTCTGCTATATTTATCTATTCTGTCAACTTTTATCTTTTCCATTCCAATGTGAGCTAAGAAGTAAGAACGGATCTGACGGAGGTCAAAAGAAATTGTCCCAAAAGTTACTCGAATGTAAAAATCATGAATTAAGCTCGAACGTTATGCTTAAAAAAAACACTCGAGACCTTATTCATTCTTGACATACAGTCCACAAATTAAAAATTGCCTTTGATGCCTCAAAACAGTGGAATCAACAGTTTTACCCTTTACTATCTTTTAGTCTTTTACCCCTTACCGCAACATTGTTGCCAAACCGAATCGATTGACTTGTTGAATCGGAAAAGTTGTTGAACCAGATCAAATCAGTTGATTTCTGTGAAAAAATCGGTGATCCAATGAACCAGCTGGGTCGCAAATGTGATTTTTAAAAGAATAAAAAAAATTAAAAAACGGAGATTCAAAACTTGTCCTCCAATAAGATATAACAACAATTACTGCTAAACTGGACAGCTACGATTATAGCAGTAGCTGCAAATGTGATTTTTAAAAAATGTGTTGGCTGCTATAAAAAAAAAAGTTTCAAATGTAATATAAGTATTTTTAATTTAATCATATTTAAAATTTAACATAAATAATGAATTATTACATAAAATAATTATAAAAATTCCTCTTTGAACATCCTTCATCACATTATATTATATTATATATATATATATATATTTTTTTTTTTTATCTTAAATTATATAATATATATATATATATATATTTATTATTTTCAACTTTATTGGTTCAATCACTAAATCATCAAACCACTTTTTAAAACAGTTCAATGATAGATTCAATTTTTATAAAGTAAATAATTAGATTAATCCTTGAAATTATATCTCGCCCTCAATTTAGTTTTTGATTCTAAAGAAACTAAAAAAAGGTCCCTAAAAATGTGATATGTCATTCATTTAAGTATTTCCATTAAATAAGTTTCATTTTTTTAAATAAAAGTGTCTAGTTGATATGATAGTATCATGTGACATATAAATGATACATATGTAGAGTGACATATATCATGTAGATGTATCATGTGACATATATGTTCCACATGATATATGATTATAAAATATAATATTATTTTAATTCCTAAAATTATAATATTGTCACTTTATTCTTTGAAATCATAACTCAACGTCACTTTAATCTCTAAAATTTTGACTTGGTGTCACTTTATTCCTTAAACATTATCATAACTTTATTTTAATCAAATAATTATGACTTGAATATTTTCACAATAAAATAAATAATTAAATTAATATTACAAATAAGATGACAAATATATTCATCCTTCAACTGTCAAGTTTTTATTCTTTTTTATTCAATTTACTTTATAATACTTACATAAAAAAAATTCAGTATATATATATATTATTAAAAAAAATCTTTGATTCGTATAAAATATTTTTATTTGATTTTCATCCTTTTAAAATTTAAACTCACTATTCAGTCCTCAACGATCATTTTAAACTAGGTAAATAACACCTATTTTAAAGATCTATAATTTTTTTTAGAGATATTAAATATTAATATGATATCACTAACAGTTGTAAATAATACCTAAGATATTTACTTAACCTTTTAATAAATAAAAAAAGTAGTTGAAAAGTATCACAAAAAAATAGGGATAAAAAATTAATTTATCAAAGAAAAATATTTTACAAAGATCAAAATCAAAATTTACTCATTTTATAAAGATAAAAAATAATAATTATAATATTTAGATGGATAAAAAAAAAGAAAAAAAATTTATAAGGACCAAAATCAAAATCATCCATTTTATAAGGATTAAAACATATTTAAGACTAAAAATGACAATTTATTCAAATTTTATATAATTTATATATTCAAACATAATATTTATTTATATAAATAATTTATTTTAAATTTTAGTTATATATAATAAATATTTAACATGGTCATTGCATATAATAAAATACTATTTTTTTTATTTATTTTAAATACGTTATATCTCTTTCTATAATTGATAATTTGCCACTCTTTTATCTATTTTATTTTCTAAAATACATAGATAAAAATAGATTCTATTTTCTCTATATTTATAATCATAATTGATTCTCTTATATAAATTATTTCTTAATTTTCTATTGTGAAAAATATCTATTATTTTATTTCTAAAAAAAATACATTTTTAATGTCTTTGATATTATATTTTTATTTTAATTATATATATATTGAAATTTTTTATTTAAGTATTATAAAATAAATTAAATAAAAAATTGTCAATTGAAGAATGAATCATCGTATTTGTATATTAACTTAATTATCTATTTTATTGTATAAATATTAAAGTCATAATTACTTGATTAAAATAAATTATAATAATATTTAGAAATTAAAGTGACATCAAGTTAAAATTTTAGGGACTAAAGTGATATTGAGTTATAATTTCATAAACTAAAGTGATAGTGTTAAAATTTCAGGGATTAAAATATAGTGTTTTATAGACATATGTCGCGTGAGACGTATTACGTGGCACACCTCACATGACACTTGTCATTCCAGATATGTATCACATATATGTCATAATATTATCATGTCACATAGACATTTCTATTTAAAAAGACAGAACTTATTTAAAGAAAAAATTTAAATATGTGACACATTACATTTTCAGGAACTTTTTTTAAGTCTCATTAGAATTAGAGACTAAATTAAAAGTACCATTCAATTTTATAAACTAATTTTACAATTTACTCATTTTTATAACTTTGTTTCACTGAGATGAATGATCATTAAGCCTTATAATTAATGCCATTTTTTTTCTTCACTTTCTATATTAAAAAAAAAAAATCCCATCAAAAGGCCAAAATGTTGAATTGAAAAGCAAAGATTTTTGTGTGAAAGAGACTTTTTTCCATAATATTTTAAACAAAGCTATCTATTTTCAAATCAGTACAAATGGACAGTGATTTGGTTGGTTACAATATGGAGTATTTGGTTGGAAATAAATAAAACTATATTTTCTAATAAATTTACATCTCCAAAGGATTTGGTTGAATTGATAAACTTACGTTTCTAGAAGTGGTTGAAAGCTAAAGATCTTAATTTTTACCACTCGTTCTCTTGTTAGTTAGGGCAACTTGTTGCATGTCTTAATCTTTATTAAGTTGTAAATATTAGTGGCTCTGGTGGTTTTGTGTAGTAGTTTCTGAATTTGATTTTTTAATGGTCTTCGTTGCTGTCTCTGTTTTCCTTTATTTTTTGTACGGTCAAGAAAAATGTGTTTTTTCGTCCTTATGCTCAGCTGTTGGACGGTGAGGTCATGGAGTATTAGTTTTATGTTTTCTTAGTGATTTTGGTTGGCTTCATTTGTTTTGAATTACTTTTGGTTTGATTTTCTTAGTTATACCTCGTTGGCTACTAAAAAGGTTTGATTTGTCTATCTATTTTTGGTTATTTTTTGTAATTATTTATGGGTTAGAGTAGCCATTGTACTCTATTTTAATATATTTCATTTTGCCTAGAA